GTTTCTCAGCTACAGTAAATTGCGGTCAAAGAGAAAGTAGGTCCTGTGCTGACCGATCTTCAAATGTTTGAAGAGAAGTTGGAATTCTGGATTTTTATATGAAGTCTCCCAATTATTTAAAAATTTAAAAATGTTAACACTATGCAAGTTATCCTGTGGGAAGGGGGAGTGGCTGGAGGAGAAATGTTCTACCTCTTGGTCTAAGAGGTGGTTACAGGGGTGGTGGACACATAAGTACAATTCATCTAGTTGTACACTTAAGATCTGTGCACTTGACTAAGTTACACCTCAAACAACACCACTATGTAATAAGCCAAATAAAATGTGTCTTTAGGGCAGATCTGTACAGTGGATCATGAGTTCACAATTCCTGTTCTGAATATTTAATATTATGGGAAAATATTCACAATATAATGTTAAAGTTAGAGGAAATTTTTCATTTATTCAATAAATATAGCTGAGCTCCTACTACTTGCCAGGTACATTTTTCTAGGCACAGGTGAGGCCTTGCTCTCAAGAAGTTCACATTCTGATGGGGGTAGAAATAGATACTAAATAAGCAAGCAGTAAATTAAAATAACACTCAGAGTGATAAAAATTATAAAGAAAATAAAACACAATAATATGAGTGTTTAAAAATATTAGACAAGTCAGGGAAGGATATATAGATAAGCCAGGGAAGGCTACATCCAGATGGCAATATGTGAACTGAGACCTAAATGGTAGGGAGTCAGCCACAAGAAAATCAATGACCAGAGCAGTGCAGGTAGAGGAAACAGCAGGTACAGAGACCTAAGATAGAAATGAACTTGCTAAGTATAAAAACATAAAGAAGGTTGTAGAGGATGCATAAAGCATATGTACTTCACAGGGCTTGGTTTTCCAAAGCCTTGCAGTTTCAAATATTGACCTTACAAAAAACAGGAAATTTTCCCCAGGCTATTGAGTCTCTGTTGTAAGATAAAGAGTTGTAACACAGCAAGGCTGCTGGTTCAAAGACAGACAAGTTACTGATTGATATGTAAAGATACGATATGTAAAGATACTGAGAAATTGCTGTAAGAAGAGAATGTTTGCTAAGATCAAACTTTTGTTGGTGGATCACTTAATTGCCCAAAAGAATGTCATCTGACTTGTTTTTACTGAATGTTACCAGCTTCTATTGTTAAACTTTTTAAAACTTTAAGCCCACCTATGTCTCTTCCTGCCTTATGGAATGTCATCTAGATTGTTTCACTGAAAGTTACCAACCTATGTTGTTAAACTATAACCCCATGTATGTCTCTTACTGTAACTTCCTGGGCTGGAGAATAAATGCAGGAAGAGAACCCCAATTTGTGGTTAATGTCCCAAATGAAAGACATGCCTCTCTCTTGTGGGTTCGGGTAAATTAACCACTTCGGGGCTTCTCACTGCTCAGAAGAGATGGGCTTTGAGTAATCCTTTGCGGCTCCGTCACCCAGGGGAAGAGGGGTGACAAATCCATGGGGGGCAAAGAAACAGAGGTCAATGTGTTTGAAGCACAGTAAGCAAGGCTGGAGGGTAGGAGGTTGGATTTTCCCTAAACTGGAATGAAAAGCTATTGAAGGGTTTTAGACAGCAAAGTAACATGACCTCCTTTACATGTTAAGAAAGATCACTCTGGCTACTCTATGAATAGATTACAGGTGGACAATAGTAAAGGATGGAAGAAATCAAGAGGTCACTGCAACAGAACAGGCAAGAAAACCAGTGTTACACTACAGTTCTAACAATGGAAACAGAAACAGGTGAATGAATTAGGGATGTGTTGTGGAGATAGAACCTTCAGGACTCACACATATATTGAAATGTGGGCAAAAGTAAAATCAAGAATGATTCCTAAGTCATACAGGAGCATACTCAATGTGGTCATGTGACAAATACATGATGATGTTTCAGTTAACAAAGGACTACATAATGACGGTGGCTCTACCATATAGCCTGGGTGTTAGTAGACTTTACCGTCTAGGTTTGTATAAGTACACCCTGTGGTGTTCACAGCGATGAAATTACCTAATGTTGCATTTCTCAGAACATATCCCTGTAGTCATGCAATGCATGATTATATACTAACACAGATGAAGTTGTGTTATATGTTATCATGTCACACATACACAGAAGACTTTCCAGTCTGGCGCTGATCTTTCATCACTTTTCTACTCACGTGCTTTGGTAAGGAAGGACACCCTGAACTATTTTGCACTTCCCATTGTCCTTAAATATGTGCCTTCAGCAACAAGGTGAGCAGGATAATGGTTGAGTGCACCAAAATAAGAAAGACATGGATTTTGCTTTGGCTTTCAGAGATAGCAGCTATAAGTAAAACAGAATCCAAGGGACAGTAAACCCATCTATCGTCAAAAACATATTCCAATTGAAAATATGGTATTTTCAAGCCACAGACAGTTGAATCCATGGAGATGGAATGTGAGGATAAGGAGGGCCAACTAATGGTCTTAAGCATCCATGGATTTTGGTGGTGGTGGTAGGTGGGGGTGTCCTAGAACTAATCTCCTGTGGATATGGAGGGCTGGGGCAACTATATTCTAAAGCAGTACTGCTTTGGGTAAACTACTTCTCTGAGCCTTAGTTTCCTTATTGAT